CGGTTAATATTCCCTTCCCCCTTCCAATCAAATACATTGCCCCCTTTCTTCCCACCTGAGTTTATGCTCTTAAGGCAGGGCTCTCCAACCTTGGCCACTGCCTGGGGAATTCTGGGAGTTGAAGTCCACACGTTTTAGAAAGTTGCCAAGGTTGGAGACACCCACCCCCATCCCCCCGCTCTAAGGAATGTGGGTGGGGCTCAGCCACGGATGTGCCGGTTTCTCTAGGCAGCCCCCCCATTACTGAGCCTGCAAATGAACTGTGTCTTTTATTTTTCAGGTAGGCTATTTGAGGGCTGGACACCGGGCTCCTGTGGCGCGTTCACGTCAAAGCTATGCCAGGCTTCACGATGTGTCGATTTGCGTTTAGCACGGTCTCACTAATGGACATTTCTGTGTGTCTCTGCGAAGCTTAGTGACAGCTAACAGTCCCTCTTCTCTCTTTTTTTTTTTTTTTTTAAAAATGAAACAACACAAAAATATCTCCCCCCCCCCTTCCTCCCAAGCATTATTGGAAAAAGGGGAGGGCAGGGCTCTAGGAATTGGGGAGAGGTTGTTGATGACTGGCCTTGTGCCCTTTGCTTGGGTCGAGCTCTAAGCCTGGACTTCGAGCGTAGACAGAGGGACCCCCCCCCCTGCCCAGAATAAACAAGAGACAAATAACGTGGCCTTCCAAGGCTAGCTTTGGGCCAGTACTTTTCGCTCCAGTTCGATTGGCAATTTCTCCTCCCCTGTGTAGGCTTGATTGTGGAACTCAATAATCTAGCTGATCCACTTCTCTCTCTCTCTCTTTTTTTTTTTTTTGTATTATGAGAAGACATTGTCATATTTGGTAGCTGCCTGCGTTCGGACTGTAGAAAGCTTCCCTTTTGCTATGGATATTAACCTGTGACTTTCTGTTCTTTTGAAGTTGATATTTCCTTTTCTCTCCCTCTTCTCCAATAAAATAAAATAAAAAAAACATTTGTAACGGATCCTCGAAAGTGTCTCCGCTGTGCCATTTGGATTTGAAAGGACGAGCTCGCCTATTGCCAACACCCTGTACAGTTTTGCATCCAAGGTAGAACGGGTTGTAGGATGTAAAACACGTTATTTCGTATTTCAGACGGCACCAACTAGAAAGATTTGAGCTCTTGCTGCTGGTTTCTCCCCCAGTTTCTGGACCTGTGAAGATTCCTCTAAAATGTCTATTTTCCCAAGGGGAAATCAGCTTAGCTTCAGTCATGCTGGCTGGGGAATTTTGGGAATTGGAAGTCCATTCATCTTAAAGTTGCCAAGGTATTAGGTTTGCTGCCTTGAGGTACTTGTAAAATTAATAAAGGTGGGCTATTCAATAAATAGCCCGCTGAGCACTCCACCAAATGAACTGGGTTTAGGCAACAAACCACCAACTAACCAAAGCTACCCCTGATCGCAGTTAACTTGCAAATGCAACTACTATGTCTTGAACTGACTCAGTTCAGTGGTAGGGCAAACCCACTGCGTACCAAAAGGGAGACAGGACAATGTGGATAGAGACATAAAACAAGGATATGGGACGCTGGCCCGCCCAGCCCAATAGGTGTCAGCCATATCTACCATTGGTACTGCTTAAAAATGTGGCCACTGCTTTAAAACCACGAGGACCAGAAACATGTTTTTAATGAAAGACAATATTTCTCAGCAATTGCAAATTATATTGGCAAAGAAAGCAAAGCTCACAAGCACCCAACTGCAGTTTTGCTACTCTTCTTGAGTATATTTTGCTTTATCTGCAACCACCTACTGTCTAACCCAGAGGTAGGCAACCTTGGCTCTTTTATGATTCGTGGACTTCAACTCCCAGAATTCCTGAGCCGGCCACGCTGAGGGGAAAGGGAGAGTTTCCAAGCTGAGCCATGCTGGCTCAGGAATTCTGGGAGTTGAAGTCCACGAGGCATAAAAGAGCCAAGGTTGCCTACCCCTGGTCTAACCTATGCATATCTCCACCTCATCTTTCTTGAACCTAAGGAAACGCTGCCTCCATTGTTCACAGCCTGCTAATCTCAGGATGGGGGTAGGGGGTGGGGGAGACACACAATAACGGAGGGAGGAATCTGGATGCAGGTGCAAAAGAGTTGTCTTGAGTGTGTTTCCAAGGCACCCGACAGTGAAGCCACTCTAAAAAAGAGGCGAAAGTTTCCTCCAGCTCCTTCTCTGGACCGCTTTCCTCAAAACGATGGCCCGGCGCTCCTGCTGCAGCCAGTAAAGCATCTCCACTATGTCCCTCTCCATTTTATCTTGGTATGGGCGGCCCTTGAAAGTCACCGTATCGTTGAAGGCATCTTTGATGTGTTTCAGAATCCCTCGGAGTTCGAAGTTGTACTGCTCCAACTCGGAGCGCAAGTGGCTTCTGATGTTCGTCTCTTGTATTCTCGTGGCAAAGGAGCCCATCTCCTTGCTGATCAGGCGGTTAGGATCCGAAGCGGTCTGCTCAAACTCTTCTATTTCAGCCAGCAGGAGCTCTCTGTCTTGGATGAACTGGGCAGCTATTTCCCAAGAATTCAGCATGTCTGGAAGCAGTAAGTAATACTGGTTGGAGCTGTACTTAATGGCCATATCTAGCCTTTCCCGCTCGGAGAAATGAAGGACGGTCCATAGTCTTGCCAGTCTCCTCTGCAGGACGCTGAGATCTTCAAACTTATGGTCGTAAGTAGGGAAATTTCCCAGGCCCTCCAACCAGGTGCTGCTGACATTCCATAATCCGGTGTGGAAGAGTTCTTTCTGAGACTGAAGCTCCGCAGCTTTTAGCTGTTTCCTCTTCACTTTCTGCTTCTTCACTTCAGCCTCGTTTAGCATAGCCTGCAGGTCTCTCTCTTTCACTTCCTTATCTTCTTCTTCAGGGTTGTACAAATGAAATATGACCGGCAAATAGTCAGCAGTGTTGTTACTGATGTATTTCAAGTACTCGTCGATGTTAAAGGTGGCTTTCCACCATTTGAGCCAAGATGCGTATTCTTTGGAAGCTAACTTCTTGGATGCGTTTGGGCCTTGGGGTATCTCTACCACTTCCTCTGGAACGAATGGACCAGCTGGGAGAATTTGACTCAGCTCTGTGTTAACGATCTGCTCGCTTTTTTTCTTCGTCAGCGTGGAGGACGCAAAGCAGGACGGACGGGGCAGGGTAATTGCAGGACACTCTATCAAAGGCCCTTGGTCAAACTTCAGGTGGTCTTTAGGAATAGTATCCATCAGTTGCTTGTAGATCTCCTGGACCTCTTCTCCAGTGGAGAGGTTTGCGTCCAGTAACTTCACGGTAGCAGGACTGATCTCGCCCAGGAGGTGATTGTAGATTGGTAAAGACCTGTCCATGATCACATTTTCCAAATAGTGTCTTTCAGACACCTGCAGGTCAGCCGTCTTTACCACCATCCTATCGTGGATTCTGACATTCACCGTCGTCGCTTGAGGATGAGAGGCTGGGGCCGCGATGATGGTGTTTCTCCGCTGCCTCTCGACATGCTCTTCCTCCTGCAGACACTTGAGCATCCTCTGCAAGTGCAGATGACGAGTCTCGTTGGCTTTGCTCCACATCAAAGCCTTAATGAGGGGAGGGAGATCTAAATCGTCCTGCTCGCCTTTCCACTGACTCTTTTCCAAGACGGAGCCCCGGACCAGCCTTTGAAGGTCTTCAGCCAGGAACACAGGGCCCTTAAGTTCATCCTCTTCGGGGGATTCGGGACAGCGACAAAGCAGAGCAGGGCTGGTCTTGCGAGGGATCAAACGGAGGCCAAGTTCATCGGCTAAAAGCTTCCCTACCCTCATATTGGGCAGAGACTGGCACCTGCGAAAGACAGAAGTCATTGGGCTAACCCGAGGCCTAGACCAGTTGCGCGAGGCACTGCGGGGATAAGGGGTGGCGACGGCAGCACCACCGGTCATTTGCTGCCGGAAGCCCACTTTCCTGGCGGCGGGTAGATTTAGCTTCTTTATTTTGCTCATGTCCAGCAAGGGTAACTCTTCCAGCTCTTTCACATCCTGGGCGATCTTCTCCTTCTCCGTCAGCGTCCGGGGCCGGATGTATCGGATGAAGTAAGAGATGGTGATGCCCAGGCGGTTGCCCAGGGAATGGGTGGTCATGGGGCCAAAGGGGCTGGAGAAGCTGGTGGGGGACTCGGGCGGGCGGTCCGCCAGCCTCTTCATCTCCCACACCAGGCGGTGCCGCACGTCCGCCACGTTGAGGAACTTGGAGCAGTCCAGGGCCAGCTGAGCCGAGAAGCGGATGAGGTTGGCACAGTCGGTGAAGACGCTCCGCAGGTGGCAGCACTCCATGAGGCCCAAGTAGTGGCGGAAGAGATGCTGGCAGACCAGGCCCAGGTAGCTCACGAGGTGCTGGTACAGCTCCCGGTTGGCCTCGGGGCTGAAGGCCGGGTCGTGCAGCAGGTGCTGGAGGTCCTTGTGGGCCTGCCTGACCTCGGTCAGGATGATGTCCCGGAAGGCCCGCAGGTGCTGAGGGCGGGCGAGGGCCTCCTGAGGCCCGGGCTCTAGCCGGGCCTTCACCAGCTGCATCAAGGCTGAGAGCGAGATGGGCACCGACAGCTCCTCCTGGTCTGGCGGGCCCAGCGAGGGGCCGGACAGGCAAGGCTTGAGCCGGGAGAAACTGATGGGGAAGAGCGAGAGCGGCGTCAGGATGCGCTGGTACTGCTCGTGCAGCCGGTGCGTCCACCGACCCGTGTCCTCCAGCGGGTACAGCGGCCGCCCGGGAGGCGACAAACGCGACGCCATGGCGGGCGAAACCCGAACCGCCTCACAGGCCCCGCTTTCGGCGTCGCCTTGGCAACCGGGCGGGTGCAGCGCCCATCGCGGTCCGGCCGGGATGCTTAAGCCGTTGCGTCCGAGATCCGCTCTCGCGGTTCCCACTGCGCATGTCCGCCTCCACCATCAAGCGCTCAGAGCGGCAGGCCGCGCCTCGCCTTCCGATTGGCGGAGGGGTGTGTCTCCTTCAAAACGGTCCGGGTGGGCCATTTTTTCCCCCCTCCTTCTTCTTTAAGAAAAAAGATGGACGGAGCTCCTGAAGGGGGCGGAGGCCTTCGCTGCACGGTGGGGAACCCTCCCGGGTGGGAGAATCAGGCGCTGCCTTTGCCTTCCTTGTCCGACGCTTTGCGCATGTCCGAAGAGATTGAGGGCTAGCAGCTTGCACCGGTTGAACTACCTGCTGGGTCATTCTTAGAAAATGGCACCCTCTCCGGGGAAGGGCGCTTAGATCTGCTTGGGAGAAGAGCTACAGGTAGTCCTCGACTTAGTGACCGTTCAAAGTGACAACGGCCTTGAAAAAAGTGACCTAGGACCGTTTTTCACACTTAACGACCGTCGCAGCCTCCCCATCCAGGGTCACGGGATCCAAATTCAGAGGCTTAGCCACTGACTCACACTTATGACGGTGGCAGCGTCCCAGGAGGTCAGGTGATCCCCTTTTGCGACCTCCTGACAAGCAGGTCATTTTACAGCCCTGATACTAATTTTAACAACTGCAGTTGATCCACTTCACTGTGGCAAGAAAGGATCGCAAAATAGGGTAAAGTTTACCTAACAAACGTTTCAATTGCGGTCGTAGGTCGAGGACTACCTGTACGCAGCAGGCAGAAGGATGGCCCAGAAGGGGCAAATGCATGAGAAAGAGGCCCTGCCCTGCCAGGCTTCCTGGGGACCCTCCTTTTAGATCAGAATTTTGGAATTAGATTTGGCAGCCTGAAGATGGGTGGACTTACTTCAACTCCCAGAAGGATTCCGCTGTATATGTCAGTCAATCCCATTCAAGGAGTTTTATATTTTTTCACTGACGTTTTTTTGTGTTGCTTTCTCCATCTCTTATTGTAGCTGGAGTTTGCCGTCCAGATGACTTGTCAAAACTGTGTAGAGGCAGTTCAGAAAACACTGCAAAATGCACCAGGTGAGATCGGCATCCGGAACGATCAACGTTCTTTTCAAGGGCAGTTTTTTTAAATTTTTTTTAATCCCACCTTTATGATATTTATAAAGAACTCGAAATGCTGAATATACCCAACACACCTTCCTCCTATTTTCCCCACAGCAGGGGTGTCAAACTCGCCATCTCACGTGACGTGTCACGATGTATCGCGACTTTTTTTCCCATCGCCGGCAATAAGGTGGGCGCAGTTCCCCCATGACGCATCCTGACACCCCTGCCCCACAGCAACAATAATCCTGTGAGGTGGGTTTTGCTGAGGGAGAGCGACTGGCCCAAAGACACAACAGCCAGTTTTGTGTCTAAGGCAAGACTGGAACTCTCCATCTCCTGGTGATGGGCCCAAAGTCACCCAGCTGGTTTGGAATTAGAACTCCTAGTCGCCTGGTTTCTACCCAATAATTTACTTCCTCACCACTTCATTCCACCTATTGAAATTCCATTAATGTCGAAAGAATGCATCAGAAAGGCAACTCAGTTTTCCATCCGGCTCTTTTCTGGCTGATGGAAGGACTCCTGGAATACTCAGCCAATACCAGTACAGAGCACCAATTTCTAAAAAAAACCCCAAACCCTAAATCCATTCATTGTTGGAAGCCTTGTTTTAGATGCAAAATTATTTTCATGAATGGCTAAATACAGAAATGGCGATGTTGACTTTGGGACTTTGTCTCCAGGGTGATGTAACCAGCTCTAATGCAATCTAATGAATTTAATGGATTAATTAAATTTATCCAGAATGCCAGTTTGATCTAGTAGTTAAGGCACCATGCTAGAAGCCAGGAGACTTGAGTTTTATTCCTGCCATAGGCATGAAAGCCATCTGGGGGACCTTCAGCCAATCCTTCTCTCTGCCCAACCCATTTCACAGAAGTTGCTGTTGTGGGGAAAAATAGGAAGAAGGTGTGTTGGATATGTTAACCACCTTGAGTTATTTGTAAAAATAATAAATGTGGGGTGCATACACACATACAAATACACGCATATGCATCCTTACATGAGGGTGGCCCAATCTTGGCAACTTTAAGACGCGTGGACTACAACTCCCAGAATTTCCCAGCCAGCTTCTATGCAGCCGGCTGGGGCATTCTGGGAGTTGGAAGTCCACGCGTCTTCACGTTGCCAAGATTGGGAAGCCCTACCCTACGTGTTTCTTTCTCCCATTTCCTTACAGGCCTTCGCATAGTCGACATCCAGCTGGATTCGCAGACTGTGTTGGTAGAGACAAGTCTTGGCACTGAGGAAGTCCAGACCCTTTTAGAAAGTACAGGCCGTAAAGCCGTGCTGAAAGGAATGGGAGGTAACGTTCCAGGTAAATCCCAACATGACCTCCCACTTCCTTTTCCTGGAGTAAATCTCCAGCATCCTTTTAAATAGCTCTAGGATGTACAAGCTCTTTTTTCCCCAAGGGACTGGTGTGAAGTGGAGGGGAATCGTTGGAAAATTTCTGATGGATTTAAAGCATTGTCCCTAGAGGTTATGGGATCAGCCATAAAGCCTTCAGAAGAGGTCTGCTACATTATCAGGATCAACCTTAGCAAACTTTAAGATATCTGAACCAACTCTCACAATTCTCCAGCCAGCAAGGAACGGCCAAACAAGCTAACCATAAACATCCTAACTAAAGACCCTCCAAGACCATTCTTTCCAACAGTAACAGGGCAAGCCACTCGAATATAAATTGAGAATAAACCCCACTCTCTAATTAGCACTGATGATGTTACCTAGATTGGTAATGAAACATCTGCAAGAAAACACCCAAGCTCAGCGAGCACCAAGGACCCCACAGTCCTTTTCCTCCTCCTCCATCTCTCTTTTTCCTCCACTTCACAAACAACACTCCCTTCCAGCACTGATGACGTTACCTAGTTTGGTAATGAAATGTCTGCAAGAAAACCACCCAGCTCAGAGAGCACCAAGGACCCCACAGTCCTTTTCCTCCTCCTCCTCCTCCTCCTCCTCCTCCTCCTCTCCACAAACACCCCCTCCCTTCTAGCACTGATGACGTTACCTAGTTTGGTCATGAAATGTCTGCAAGAAAACCACCAAGCTCAGAGAGCATCAAGGACCCCACAGTCCTCCTCCTCCTCCTCCTCCTCCTCTCCACAAACACCCCTCCCTTCTAGCACTCATGACGTTACCTAGTTTGGTCATGAAAAGTCTGCAAGAAAACCACCAAGGTCAGAGAGCACCAAGGACCACTCAGATTATTTTCCACTCCAAAAGTCTCTCTTTCGCACTCTGTTGACTTCCCCTTTCTTCAAAGGATTGCTGGGCAGTGCCGCCGTGGCCATGGTGTCAGGCCGCGGACTGATCCAAGGCGTGGTGAGGTTCCTGCAAGTCTCGCCCGAAAAGTGTCTCGTGGATGGCACAGTGGATGGCCTTCAGCCGGGGTTACACGGGCTACACGTCCATGAGTTTGGAGACCTGAGCCGCTCTGGTGACAGGTGAGAGCCTCTAGGTGGTGGTCTTTTCAGGGGCTTGTAAAAGTTGGAGAGATCTTTGTTTTCCTGACTATAAAATCTCCCCCTTTGATTTTATCCCAAACAGTTGCGGATATCATTTCAATCCTCATGGGGAATGCCACGGAGGCCCCCAGGATCGGCACAGGGTGAGTCAGGACCTCTTCATCACTTGCAAATGCAACTGCATACCCACTGCATACCAAAAGCGAGACAGGACAATGTGGATAGAGACATAAAACAAGGATATGGGATACCACGAAGCCTCCTCCTAGAAGGGAACAAGGAAAACAGGTCGGGGAGAGGATGTGTCGTGTCCCAGACAATCCTGCGGACCCTGCTCACACAACGTTTCTGTGCCATGTCCTGGATGGGAGGGAGGGAGCTGCCCATGATCTTTTCGGCCGTCCTCACCACTCTCTGCCCCGCCTTCCTGTCCGAAGCAGGGATGCTTCCAAACCAGACTGTGATGCCGCAGGACAGGATGCTCTCGATCGTCCCCCTGTAGAAAGGGGTCAGGACAGGGGAAGGAAGATGTGCTTTTCTCATGCGACGCAGAAAATGCAGGCGCTGCTGTGCCCGCTTCACCAGGGTCACGCGATCACCGTTTGCGACTTTCCCAGCTGGCTTCTGACATGCAAAGTCAATGGGGGGAAGCCGGATTCGCTTAACGACAGCCTGGTTCACTTAACAAGTGCGGCGATTCGCGTCACAGCCGTGACAAAAAAAAAAAAAAAATTTGTAAAATCAGGCGCCAGTCTCCTCACCACCGGCTTGCTTAGCCACAGAACATCTCTTCCCAATTGTGGCTGCACGTTGAGGACTTGCTTGTTCTCTTTCAGCATGCGGGTGATCTCGGGAACATCTTGGCCACTGCCGACGGAAGAGCATCCTTCCGGATGGAGGATCATCAACTGAAGGTGAGTCAATCTGGAGAAAAGAAGCGGTTCAGCTTATTGGGGCAACGAATCAGTTAGGATGGGCTGGCATCACCTGGTTATTTTTTTCCCCTTTTGCCCAAGCTGGAAGCTGCCCATTTTCTGCAACTGGCCTAGAAACTCTGAGTTCTAGTCCTGCCTTAGGCAGGAAAATCAGCTGGGTTAACTTTGGGCCAATCCCCAAGAGACAGTGAGTTCTAGTCCCACCTTAGGGACTGGATGACTTTGGGCCAATCCCCAGGAGACAGAGAGTTCTAGTCCCACCTTAGGCATGAAAGCCAGCTGGGTGACTTTGGGCCAATCACCAGGAGACAGTGAGTTCTAGTCCCTGACTTCCCATGCATCCTAGATATCTGTCATGGAACAGGATTGGGTCCACTCACGGCGCTGTCTTTTCCCTCTCCTTAGGTGGATGATATAATCGGCCGTTCCTTGGTGATAGATGAAAGAGAGGATGATTTGGGTCGCGGGAATCACCCACTGTCAAAAATCTCTGGAAATTCGGGGGAGAGGTAAGGAATCTGGGCTGGTTCCTTTTTTGCTGGAAGATGAGGCTAACCTGGATGCCTTGAAGCAGTAGGTAGAAGCCACAGATTAGGATCCACTGTATGTACAGTTAGTTCTCTGCCACAAAGAAGAGGGGGGTCAACCTTGTCAGCTCTGCCTGGTTCTGCTTGGTGCCTCACAGGGGCAGCCTGCCATCAAAGGCTAGGAGGGGAGGATGATGGAAGGGCATTAAAGCTGTGTGTGTACATGATCGGAGATTGGGAGATGGGGGGAAATGACAGGTGATAGTAATATAATAATAATAATAATAAAGTTAGAAGGGACCTTGGAGGTCATCTAGTCCAACCCCCTGCTCAGGCAGGAAACCCTATATCATTTCTGACAAATGGTTATCCGGTCTCTTCTTAAAAACTTCCAGTGTTGGAGCATTCACTGCTTCTGGAGGCAGGTTGTTCCACTGGTTAATTGTCCTCACTGTCAGGAAGTTTCTCCTTAGTTTTAGGTTGCTTCTCTCTTTGGTTAGTTTTACATCCGTTGCTTCTTGTCCTGCCTTCAGGCGCTTTGGAGAATAGCTTCACTCCCTCTTCTTTGGGGCAGCCAGATTCCAGTTTGTACCAGTATCCCAAGGCCAGGCACCCTGGGAAAATATGCGGATTGCCCCCAAACATCTCAGTGTTCATTTTGGCGAGCTCCGGTTGGCTGGAAACAGACAGATCACTGGCGGAGGGATGAGCTGCGGACAAATCCTTTTGCATATTTTGAGCGCGGGAAAATTCAGAGCTGGCCCGACTTTACTGTAACCAACACCTTTCGTAAAAGAACCCTTTGCTTTAATCGAATGGAGCCCAGGGTCTTTCTTTCCTAAGGGATCAGATTGGGGCAGTCTCCAAAGCATCAGAAGGCAGGACAAGAAGCAACGGATGGAAAAAAATAACCCAAGAGAGAAGCAACCTAGAACTAAGGAGAAATCTCCTGACAGAGAGAACAATTAACCAGTGGAACGGCTTGCCACCAAAAGTTCTGAATGACCCATCACTGGAGGCTTTTAAAAAGACATTGGACTGAAATGATATAGGGTTTCCTGCTTGAAGCAGGGGGTTGGATTAGAAGACCTCCAAGATCCCTTCAGACTCTGTTATTCTGTTAGGGAACTGGAGGCTAAACTATACGACGAATGGTTAAGGGAACTAGGTGTGTTTAGCTTAATGAAGAGAAGGATTGGGGTGACGTGATAGCGGTCTTCCAACATTTGAGGGGCTGCCACAAAGAAAAGGGGGTCCACCTATTCTCCAAAGCATCTGAAGGCAGGAGAAAAAACAACGGATGGAAACTAATCCAGGAGAGAAGCAACCTAGAACTAAGGAGAAATTTCCTGACAGAATAATTAATCAGTGGAATGGCTTCCTTCCAGAAGTTCTAGATGCTCCATCAGTTTTAAGAAGAGATTGGACAGCCACTTGTCTGGAATAGCATAGGGTCTCCTGCTTGAGCAGGGGGTTGGTCTAGAAGACCTCCAAGGTCCCTTCCAACTCCGTTATTCTGTTGTTCTTTTATTCATTCTAAACCAGCTTTCTGTCTAGGTAAAGATTCTTTTTCTTCCTGTTTTTTTGCAGAATAGCCTGCGGGATCATTGCTCGCTCAGCCGGCCTCTTCCAGAATCCCAAGAAGATATGTACTTGCAGCGGGGTGACCCTTTGGGAAGAACGGGAAAGATCGGCAACCAGGCAAGGCCAGGCCGCTCCCGAACAACCGAA